GGATCGCGAGCCCGGGCCTCGACCCCCGCCGCCGCTCCGCCGCGAGCTCCGGCTCCCGCTCCAGCGCCCGCCATCCCCGCGGCACCGCCGCGAGCCCAGGGCGCCACTTCCGGGTCCGAAGCCCCCATGGCTTCGGGCGACGAGGTCACTCCCCGTCACGTGACGAGCGAATGCTCCGCCCCTCGCGGGCGTCAGTGGGCGGGGGCGGGGCGCACCATTCGCTGGCTCGGGGGAGCATGGGGGCGTGGCGCGGCGTGTGGTACATGCCGCCTGTGACCCTCGGATTTAACTGGGGACTAGTTGCATGCTGGGATTAGAATTGCTGGTCAGCGGTGGTAGACGACCCAGGCCCTGGGTTCCAAGGCTGTGGTGGTCGCCGCAGGCCGGGAGGCTCCCCCGGGATCCCCAAAAAGTCCCGGGGGCGGGGCTCGGTGGCTCTGGAAGCCAGACGCCCCCAATATGGTCAGAAGCGCTTTCAAACCCCCTCCCCGGCTTCCAGAGCTTTCGTTCCAGTTCTGGGCCCGCCCCTTTGCGGCCCCAGATCCCAGTCACCGCGGGCTGTAAGGGGCTCTGCACAAGCTAACCTTGTGCTGTAGGCCGTACTCTGCAGTTTCCAGCCAGCCCCCTTGTCATACCCCTTTGCAACAATTGCCATGAATGTCCTCCCAGCAGACCAAGTCCACTCGCCTCTCAGAGATTCTGGTCATCTTTGCTCATTGAGCTGTCGCGAACATCCCTTGGAGACCATGGTTATTAAGTTTGTTTTACCTTTAAAGTACTTGAGTGTCCCCTTCACTAGACGGTTTTAGTCAGTCATTTAAGTTCGAGCACACTGAGGCACTGTGCTAAAAATAAAAAAAGTCACTGCCTAGAGTCGATCCTTCCTCTGGTGAGCCCTCCTTGGGTTTCTAGGACAGTATCTCTACGGAAGTAGATTGCACAATCTTCCTTCCGAGGAGTGGCTGGTGGGTTTGAACCACCAGCCTGGTTAGCAGTTAAATGCCTTAGGCACCACGCCACCAGGGCTCCTGCAGGCACTGTGCTAGGCGCACTCTAATCTTTGTTGTTAGGTGCCGTTAGTCCCAACTCATAGCCACCCTGTGTACAGCAGAACTAAACACTGCCCTGTCCTGGGCCATCTTCACTATTGCCATGCTTGAGCCAATCCTTGCAGACACTGTGTCAATCCATCTCCTTAAGGGTCTTTCGCTGACCCTCCACTTTACCATGTATGATATCCTTCTCCAGGGTCTGGTCCCTTCTAACAACATGACCAGAGTATAGGAGAGAAGTCTGGCTGTTCTCACTTCTAAAGAACATTTTGATTGTACTTCCTCCGAGAGAGATTTGTTTGTCCTTCTAACAGTCCATGGTACTCTGATCTTTGTTAAAAATTAGTAATAAATTAAATGAATGCCCTTTAAATTCACTTACTATGTGCCAGTCACGTTTCTAAGTGTTTAACTCATGTATCACAACAATCCCATCAACAGGGTACTTAAATACAGCAAGTTGCTGTTGTTGTTGTTATGTGCCGTCGAGTTGGCCCCGACTCATAGCCACCCCTCCTTGGATTGTAGAGGCAGTATCACTAGGGAAATAGATTGCCCAACCTTCCTTCCGAGGAGTGGCTGGTGGGTTTGAACCACCAGCCTTTTGGTTAGCAGTCAAGTGCCTTAGGCACTATGCTACCAGAGCTCCTAATACAGCAAGTACCTGTTCCTATTTGTAAATGTGCCTGGCTCCCTGCAAAACACCCAAAACTGCCAGTTGTGGGCGGGCTTGATAAAAGTTTCTGTTTAAAAGGAAACTAACCCAATAGCCTAGAGTCTGGAAAAACACGGCAGTGAAGACTGGGTCCCTCTGCCTGTGCTTATTATCCTGTTGCCAGTTCATTGTGAGAAATGATTTTATCAGAATGATAGATATCTGCCTTTTGACCACTTTTACTTAATAGGTTTCTCACAGTCCATCTTTTCTGCCTTCTTTCTTGCCTTGCCCCCTAAAAAGCCAGCCTCCCCCTTGCTAACCCTAACAAGAAATACTCTACACTTTCTACATCCAAACCCTTCCAGTGTTCTTCCCTCCCTCCAGGGTTCTATCCTGCCTCCCCAACTGTTGGCCTCTTTACTTTAGGCTTGCCCACGTCTGAATCACTGCAAAGCATCTTAGCCCATTCAAGTTACTGTATTTTCTGCTTCAAACACAGCTTTCATCAAATATACCCCTCTCTCCCAAGGATACATTTAATAACTTCCTTTATGCTTTGATTCTGGTTTAGCTTTGTCAGTAGGAGCCTTCAAGTCAAGTTTGTCCACAGCTTCATCTAACATTACAGTATCACACCAACTCTCCATCCAGGAGAGATCATGGTTTCCAGCTTCCAGCTGGGGGTTTACTGTACCTTCCTCACATAAACCTTTTCCTCCTCTGGGCTTAGCCTCGCTGTTTTTTCTCCAGCTGTCTGTTTTTCTTTCTGAACCTGGCTGTATGTCCATTAGGCCTTTAACCCTGCCTGGCATGGTCACCTAACTTTTGGTCTATATTTGGCCCTTTCAGACTGTGAGTTCATGTAAGGCAACCATTTTGTATTGTCTTGTATTATTTTGTATCTTCCAGGGTACTCAATGTAGGGATATACTTATAGTGAGTGTTCAGTAAATTGTTTTAAAATGACTGAACAATTTCCTCAAGTAGAGAAATTAAAGTGAAAATAGGTCCTAGACCAGTCAAACCTCTAAGATACCCAACAGAAGCAAATATAAAAGTGCACTATAGCTATATTTCCACAATTCAGGCTCACAGGGACACTAAGTAGGGGAGAAAAAACAAAAACAAAAAAAACCCTCAGAACAAAAAATGTTACAAACAAGTCAAGTATACATTTCATCATGAGAGTGAACGACCAAAATAAGCACTAATACTCCCAAAAACATAGAACATGAGCTGATAGATAATAATAATTTGAAAGAAACTGTAAGGGGGAAAAAAGTAGATTTCAAATGAAGGTGAAGGTAAAGAATACAAAATAAGGGGGGAATAAAAAAGGACATTATAAAGAAGGAAAAGAAAAAAGCCTCATTGCCACCGAGTAGATTCCAATTCATAGCGAGGTATCCAAGGTTGTAAATCTTTACAGAAGCAGATTGCCTCAGCTTTCTTTTGCGGAGCAGTTGGTGGGTTTGAGCCACCAACCTTTTGGTTAACAGTCAAATGCCTTAACCACTACAGCACCAGAGCTATTATAAAGAGAGAACTAATGTATTTGAAATAGAACCAAACAGAGCATCTAGGAATGAAAAATATACTCACTGAAACGATTGAAAGACAATCTTGCTCACTCTTCATTCAATTGAGAAACCAGGAAATACATGCTTAGAGCTCTTAAGCAGTTAGACCCACATTCACCCCCCACCCCAGGCTGGGGTAGTGTACCCCATTGACTTTCCATTGCCTGCTGCAGTTGCCCCATCACAGCATTTGTCACACTCTATGGTGGCTGCCTATTTTCTCCTCAGTCTTCTATGTTAAAGTTCCTGAGAGCCAGGACTGTTCTATTCATGGTTGAATTCCTAGCCTGGCACCATGCCTATCACCTGGTTTCTAGTTGCTGTCCAGCCAATGTGTGTCAGAGTGGAACCGTGCCCCATAGGATTTCCAGTGGCTAACTTTTGAAAAGTAGATCACCAGACCTTTCTTCCTAGGTGTCCCTGAGTAGACAGGAACCACCAACCTTTCTGGTTAGTTGCCATGCATGTTTACTATTTGCACTGCTCAGGGTAGGCCAAAAACCAAACCCACTGCCATCAAGTTGATTCCGACTCATGGCAACCCTATGGGACAGAGTAGAAGTGCCTCATAGGGTTTCCAGAGCTATAAATCTTTCCAGAAGCAGATTGGTTCATCTTTCTCCCACAGAGGGCAGTGGGTTCAAACCGTCAGTCTTTTAGTTAGCAGGCAAATGCTTTAACCACTGTGCCACAGAGCTCCTCCACCCAGGGTAGGAACTCAAAAATATTTACAATAGTAATAATGGATAAGCAAAAACAATTTTAAAAATATACAAACTTAAAAGTCAAGAAAAGGTTTATATATGGAAGGAAACTTTCTTTGTTGATTACCAGGGGTGGGAGGGGAGGAAACACTGCAAAAATAAAAATAAAATAAAATTTAAAAATATACAAACTTATTTATGTTAGCACCACTTACAGAATGAAAACTTTAGGAAAAGCAACATGCCCAACAATAAGATCAAGTAAACAGCAGAAAATAAATTAACTCATGTAGACCTTGAGTATTACAAGTATACAATATAGATCTTCAGTCCCAGGAATCCTGTGGGGAACTAAATAATGAAAAGAGAATACAAAATGGTAAGTACTCACTATTGCAACTAAGTTGGTATCGCATTAACCAAGGTCAGAGGAGCGATGTCAAGTTCAGCATGAGTGCTCAGGCCTCAGCTGGGGAGGAGACAGGCACACAGGTGTGAGGAGAGTTTACTGTGGTGCAATGAAGAGGGGCTTGTCTAGATGTAAACTCCCTGTTTACTAGGTCTGGGTGGGACTTGTCTGACTGCTGCCTCTCCTTGCCTGCTTCTGGGGGTGAGGGTGAGGAGCACTGGTGTTCCTTCTGTTTTAGATCCCGTGCCTTGACATCAACTCCACAACACCAAGCTACAAAAGAGATCAACTGTAAGTCTTGGCCCCAATCCCGCTTACCCCCACCTTCTCCTACCTCCCACTCCCAATACACGCACACAAAAACCATAGAAATCTATTGAGCAGTTGTTGTTGTTGTTGTTGTTGTTGTTATGTGCTGTAGAGTCAGACCCAACTCATAGCGACCCCTCCTTGGGTTTCCAAGGGAGTATCACTATGGAAGTAGATTGCCCAACCTTCCTTCAAAGGATCAAGCAGTTAATCATAGCTAAATTCAACCAGCTGTCCTATATTAGCGTCCCTGGGTGGCACAAATGGTTTAAGTGCTCAACAACTAGCTGAAAGGTTGGTGGTTCAAACTCACCCAGGGTGCCTTGAAAGACAGGCCTGACAATCTGCTTTGGAAAAGACACAGCCTCAAAAGCCCTTTGGAGCAGTTCTACGTGGTACACATAGCGTCGCCAGGA